CAGGAACCCTGCCATTGGGGCCTGCCTGAACAGCATGAGGACAGAACCAGTGCATGTCACAGCGAGCCTGACCCTGGCCCTCTTTGGGTTAGATGGGTCTGTGCTTTTCTAGTAGACTTGGGCAGTGGGCAGCGTCTTTGCTTCTGGCAGACTTTGTCATAACAGAGCGATACAGGTTGGATTCCTGTGTAGGCTAAAGGGTGAATTCAGCACTGTGACTTTTCAGAACATGATGGGTGGATGGTAGTGTATCCAGAAAAAGCATTCCACAGTCTAGTCAGGGGTGATATGTTCAGCAGTAAGTTTGTGTCTCTGACCAACAAAATTTCATGGTAAGAAATAGACAGTAAGCACTGATAAAACCAGATAAAGGAGTGCGTGTGTCCCCACTTTGAATAATAGTATTTCCTAGAATTAGACTAGTTGAAAGAGCAGGACAACACTTTATTATGGGGGTGATGTTTGTCTAACAAGAAGAGGAAGGAATGTGGGAAACAGAAGGTTCTATAAGGGTGTTCCTTATTTGAGAGAGTAGTACTGCTAGGTGTGAAAACAGGAAGCAGTGGATTTGGAACTCATGTTTCACTTGGGTACCAATTAGCACAAGGCCAGATAATGAACTCTCTAATCATTTTAATAAGCACCTACCCCCATAAGTAACCACAGTGAAGTCAATAATGAGTTAATGCGATCATTCATATGAATCATCAGTATGACTAAGAGGGTACAATCTGGCCCCAAATACTTAAAACTAGAGAAATAAATTACCAGAAGGTAAATGTATGTTCTCTCTAAAATCAAAACATTATTAAGAATAGAAACTCCTTTCCTTTGTTGTCTGTAACGTAATCTGGGGGTGGAAGCACCTTGACCAGTAATTGAGGTTTTTTGAAATCATGACTTGTGTAATGGTGGGTATTCTGGTGTGGGTGTCTCAGCATTGCTGCACCAAATTTTTAGGTGCCCTGCTACTGAGTGGAATTCACAGCTCTGGGTTAGGTGACCATCTCTCCCTTTACACTGTATAGGGAACTTAGGTGCTTCAGAATGGGATTCACAAAAGCCAGAATGCTGAGAGGCCAAAGCTAGCGAGTAGAAAATGCCAAGGAGAGGGCTGTGGCCTAAGCCCTGCATCTCACTGTGACTTGGCTGGAGGGAAGAGCCTATCTCCATTTGGGATTCTCAGCCATGAACTCTCTCCTGGAGTCAGGTGCCTAAGTCATTTTTTTTGGCAAGAAAAACAGGAGTAGCCTCCCTTACAACTTTTAGTTCTGTAGTTAGAGCACTCAGCTGGGATGTAGGCAACCCGACTTCAGTTCCCTCTCTGCCTGATGTGGAGAAAGGATTTGAACTCAAGTCCCCCATTCTCCAAGGAGAATGCCCCAACCACTGGGATATTCTGGGGTGGGTCTCTCTTTACTGTTGAAACAAGTCCACTTTTGATAAATATTGAAATAGCCAGTGGTGCAGGGGGACTGGATGCTGGGTCTCCCTCCTCCCAGGTAAGTACTCTTACCCCTGGGCCATAGAATCACTCTCATGCTCTTTCTGCCCTAATGACTTGTGACAGGCTGGACCCCTGGGATGTCACCTGGTTTGCTGGAACGCCACTGAGTCAGACTATTCTGCCAATCTGGGCCCCCTTTTACCTGGTGTTTCTGGGCTAGGCTCCCCTGCCTTTTCCAGCCAAGCACACAGGCAGGGCCACATCCAGCTGCACAGAGAGACAGAGATCCGCTCTGGGAAGGCTCAGCTTAAGGGACTTGCTCCAGCACTCAGATGTCCACCTCGCTGCCTGCCCCCGCCCCCTTTGGAGTACAAACCCAAAATTATATGAAATTCGCCTCTTCCCTCAATGTGGAGGAGGGTATCCACAACTCCTTACCCCCCCCCCCAGTTAGAAATCACATAAAGTTGGTTATATTATAAACCAGAAATAAATTTATTAACTATAATAGGTGTATTTTAAGTAGTTAAGGAGGTAGCAGACAGAACAAGGCAGATTACTAAGAAAATAGAACAGAGCATGCAAACTAAGCTTAATACACTAAAGAAACTGGTTACATATAAGTTCTCACCCTAAATGTGGTTCTAAAAATCATCTTCACAGGCCAGATCCCTTCCAGCCTGGGTCCAGTTCTTTCCCCCGGTTAAGTCTTAGTTGTTTTCAGCAGTCATCTTGGGGGTAGCAGGGGAGAACTGATGACCAGGATTACCTCACTCCCCACCCTTAAATAGGATTTGCATAAGGTAGGAGTCCTTTGTTTCCTAGTTTGACACCCCCCCCCCCCGGCTTCTCGTGGAAAAGTACAGAATTCAAGATGAGTTCCAGTATCAGGTGACATGGTCACATGCCTCTGTAGGGCCCCTGTAGCCATTCTTCAAAGGCTGACCCACACATTCACAGGAAGCTCTTTTACAGTCCATTGTCTCTTGCTGATGGTCCATCAGCAATATTAGGCTTTTTCACTGTTGTACCTGAAGTGTTAGCAAGGGGGCATCACAAAAAGTAACATAACTGAAATATAGATACATAGTCAATACTCCTAATTTCAGATACAGAAATGATACATGCATACAAATAGGATAATCATATTCAGTAAATCATAATCTTTCCAATGATATCTTACAAGAGTTATCTTGCATAAACATATCTGAGTTATGTCATATTCCTACCAGAAGCATATTTTCATAAAGAATATGTTGTATAATGTCACATGACTATTTAGTTATTTTTGCACAGTGGAACACTTTCAACAGGAAAGATTGAGAGCCCTGCATCAGAATATTCAACATTCCAGTGGTCAGGGCAGTCTCCTGGAAGGGGGGAGACTGAAGCTGAAATTCTTTCTCATCATCGCTTAAAACAGGGAATTGAACCCAGGTCACTCACATCCCAGGAGACTACCCTTACCATGAGTCTATCATCACCTCCTTTGGCTGGGGCTTAGGTGTGAGATAGTGTTTGGGAACCTAGACTGAGGCAGCTATGCACAAGCTTACTGGTAGAAACATAGGTGACATGGTGAACACCTACCGAGTTAAGTGGCCGCTGAGTAGGTGTTTTGAGGATCTCAGTAATGCCTAGATCTTGGACTTGAGCACCAAGTCCCTTTGTCGATCTATCCCATAAGTCCATTGTATGGTATTGCACCAGTCTTGTTGATAAATGATCTTCTAATCATTTTGTTCATGTGTGTATATCTTGAAGTCTGGCATTTTGTTCCAGTTCATGAAGCTGCTGTTAGAACAGATGTAGTTTCTAATCAACCATTCCAAAGACATTTTGAAAATGCAGAATCACTAGTTTGTTGTTGTTGAGCTGTTCTTTGGATATTATTAAGTACTCTTATTACAAATGCAGATTCCAACTTGGTCATCTTTTTTCTCTCTTTTGAATTTATATTTTCATGGTCTTGTCAACTTAAAATAGCAACAACAGATCTCACAGACAAAATAATAGAAAACCAGGAGACCTTTGGCACACATATACATGGGAAAAGAAAGTGAAAAACAACCAGATAATGCATGTGGGCCTAATTTCTCATTGCATTATTCTAGTTTTATGCCAGTGCAATTCCATTAGAGTTACTGACTTACTCCAGTGGCATAAAATCAAAGTAACACAGTAGTGGATCAGCCTCATATAGTCCTCTAATTATACTCTATGGGCCAAATTCACCAGGAGCACTCTGCCTACTTAGTACCCTTCCGGTCCACAAAGCAGCAGTATACCAAGCTTAACCGGCTGGTGAAACTGAGTTTACAGCTGCTTTGTGTTGCTAGAGCACACTGGTGAATCTGGGCCAGTATAAGTGCATCAGCTTGATCTTAAAGAGTGAATTCCTAATTCCCTTATCTGACTGGTATAACAGTATCAAGGTCTATGGGTTTATTAACAGTTTACCATGGTGTAAGTCAGAAGAGAATGAGGCCCTAAATAGTCTTAGCAGGATAATGGCTACATTAGTCTAAAAGACAATGTTTGACCTCATGTCTTTTCAGATCTTTATTCTAGTGTCTCTAAATTATTTGATACTTAGTGTAGAAATCTGTCTTCTAGAGTTCTTCTGAAGAAATTCCCCTTCAGTGTCTATGTTTTTATTGCCGGGTTACTTCATACCTTTAATTTACTATTCTTTATATTTCATTTCCAATTCTCCACCCTTCAGAAATCTTTATAAATGGCTACATAACAAGTGCAAATTTGCCTCCTTGTTCAGTGGAAAGTACCAATCAGCCTGTGATGAGTGTGACATCTCTTACTAAGAGAGAACAAAGAAAACAGGCAACTCTAAATAATCATCAAAGTCTAACTTGTCAGAGCTACAGTATGTGGTCTATTAAGCTTTATTGAGGGCACTTTGAGATGGCAGTGGTGCCTAAATAACTATATAGGTCTTTATCTGACTAGTTATGCATATGGCACAATGATCTTGTCTAAAATCAATTTTATTGCAAGAAAACAAACAAACAAATCTACAATAAAACTATAATCATGCATAAAATCAAGCACTGCTTCTTTAGAAACTTAAATTGATGTGCTCTTGCCTCTGTGTTTTATAAACACAAAGCTAATACAACACGATACTTTATTTCGTGCATCAAACTGTATCCCAAAATGCTTTACAGAGTTAAATAATAGTTATAAAGCTAAAATCACAACTGATAGCAGATGGAGAGTGAGATTTAAAGAGAGATAGTCAAGAGGAAAGAGACATGTTTTCAGATGAGGTTTGAAAATAGCTGGATAGTCAATGAGGCAAAGATATAGTGTACAGGAAAGTAGAGTAGGGAATATCTTTCCCCGCTAAGCCATCTGCTGGCCAGTCTGCACAAAAGTATATCATTCCTGATATTATTAGCATGTCAGATGGTGGGTAGTTCCTGCAATACTGAAAATATGGCCCTGCCATTTTCTTCTCATATCCACAATTATCCTTGAATGTTTCCTCTACCCCTGTAAAATCATCATAGCTAACTGGTTTATCTTTCTTTAGGCAAGCAGTATCACTGTGGATGCAGTTGTGTGGGAACAGACAACTCAGGAGGAAAGTGGGCATCCATTGTTTAGAGAAGAAGATGGAAGGAGATGTCAAGGCATGTCACAGAGTGAGTAGGGTCTATTGTTGGGCCTGCTTCTGGTGTGGTATATTCCAAAAATGAATGGCAACTAACTTGTCCCTGGCCTTCAAACCTCCACTGGTTAAATTAAATTGCTAAATATGGTCTGTGGTGCAGGACTCTCTATCTCACTATGTGAACCCCCTGGAATCTAAGTCATGGCTTTTCTCGATGAGTAACTACTGCCTCCCATTCTGCCTCTCTTGTAAATTGTAGTGTACAGGGCAGCTCTTTGCCTCTGGATTCTGGGAGCACAAGGATACAGAGCGAAAGTGTCAATGCACCATTCTGAACAGAGGCATTACAGATGTGGTCATGTCTCCCTTAATACAGTCTCCATGCTTTGAGACGAGTTATAGCTTTGTGCCAACACTGTCTTCAGTTACAAAGGCCAGAACCCTCCCATAGAAGGATATCACCTGTATTTACTTAAAGTACAGTATATGCACTGCAAAGTTAGCCTTTTGCCTAAGTGATCCTTTTCAAGCAAATCTACTCACCCACTTTTCTAATGTGTGTATTTGTAAAAGGTGAAAAATGTTACCTTTTTGGAGAACTATATACTCGTCAAGTTGAGCTGCATCATTGTCTGTTCCTTGCTTTCTCTTGTAAAGAATGGTTGACCAGTGCTCGAATATTGTGATGAAACGTCTATGCTTATCCAAGTGCTCTCGTTTTAAAAGAATTGTCGCCCCTGAGGCCAAGTCTCAGGAACAGCCAAATCCCAGCCAAAGTTTAGGATTCATCTCTTCAGGGAGCAAATCCACTTGCAAAGCTTTGTAAGTCTGGAAGAGGGTCACATAGCGTGGTTCTGGCTTAAAGGGACACGATGATATGTGAATGAGATTGTTACTCCTTCTTTGTATATTGGGATTTGGAAAATAAATATACACACAAAGAAAAATCCCAAAAGGTTTCTGAAGTACCGCATTGGGTTAGGTTGTGAGCTGGACTAGATGCCCATGTAGGAGAAGTAAGAGCTCCCACTTACCCTCCTGCATGGACTTTGTGGGCCTTAGTTCCAATGGTAAACAGGTGCTGTGTACCTGTTACTCCCCACGATCCGGTGGTCACAATCCTTTATATATTTTTATGGTCCCCATTACAATAGTATCTGAGGATACCACAGACATCAAAGGTTTTTATCCACAAAATATTCCTGCAAGGTAGAGAAGGATTATTATTCTATCAGTTCTCCTGTCTTGTATTCCAAAAACCAGGACAGTAATTATCTAGGGTTAGGTTCTTATATAGCATTTGAGTGCCTCACAGGCATTAATAAGCTTATCCTCACTACACCCTTGTGAGGTAGTCCTCAGTCCTGTTGAAATCCTATTTATCTGAAATCAGTGGAACTTCTGTGGAGAAAGGCAGGCAAGGATGGAAGAATTGCCCCTTAAAGCAGAAAAGGAGCAACTTCAACTGAGCAAGTGAAGTGCAACCAAAGTGAATCATCCTGTAAAATACTTTGATTTGGCTAGTTCTTAAGATAGGTTTCAGTTCATTGGGATGCCTGGTCGATGTTTCTTGGGCTCCCCAGATTTTTTGGTATAACCTGAAACATGAACTTCTAGTTCTCTCTGTCCCACACAAAATAAATAAATACACACCAGAAAATTGGTCAGGCAGGCGGTATTCACCTTTGTACAAGAATAGCAGTATTCAGCATGCAACCTCGTTCTTATTCCCATGAGCCTGGCTAATATTGCTCTGGGACAGGGGCAGTCTTTGGTGGCTGCATCTACAGCCAGAATTATGCAGCTGTTAACATATTTCTCTGAATAAGTAGTAATTCTCAGGCACTTTCTCTGCAGTGGATAGTCATTTTGTTTATTTTAATTTATTACACGGCTTGTTATAGTCTCTCTTTGTTTGATTTCTCACTTGAAATCCTTCTTTCTAATAATCTATTCTTCCCCTTTCAAACTCAATTGCAAATACCTCAGCCTCTATCATATGACTTCTCTTGATGGTGCTGTCCATCGATCTATATTCTTATTCCCATCTAACAAGAATGTTCAATCTCTTTTTCTGTCTTGTTCAAAGTGACTTGTACAACATGATTTCCTATGTCATTGTTTAGTTCTCTGCCATTCATGTCACTCCTTTACTACATGGACAATGGGTCAGATCCTCTGCTGATGTAAATCACCATAGCATCATTCCTTATTTCATAAATGGGAATGTCCCCCAAAGATATTTTCTCTTTTAAAATCCATGTAGTACACTCTTGTCATCTCATTCAAGGGGCATTCAATGCTGAGTGTACCCCCTTTTAGTTATGATGCTACCCCCTGTTCTTCTGTGATATACCATTGTATGTGTTTGAGTGAAATGCAAAAGTCAGCTGTTTTGACTGAGTCTTTCCATCTGGCAAATTTACAGTAAATTATTGCTGACTTTCCTCCGATGGATCAGTGATAACTGCTGTAGAATGATTCTCTAGTAACTTAAAGGCTGAGCTCAAATATTTTCTGTAGTGTGAAATTTGAAAACTTTGAATGGGTCATTTTCACAGTTTATTACAGGGCTTTTACTTTTTCAATTTTCATAGAGGCATCTTCAACTGGCATGATTTATGCAAAGTACTGGTGATATGGTTCTAAAAAGACACTTACAGACCTAGGATTTTAGAAGCAGAGCATTAAAGATTGATACTTGTAACTTACAGAAATGCTAACAAAGAAAAATAGTTCCATAACAATAAATTCGAATAAGTACTTAAGCTCTTTGCTACCTGAAACTTGCTAGAATTTGCAACTGCCTTTGTTCTTGGAGAGATTTTGCTGACAGTTGCTGTAATCAGAAAGATGAGAAATCACATCCTTACTCAAGAGTCTGATCCTGCAGTCCTTACTCAGGTAAAACACCTGTTGAATCTGAGGTAAAGGACCATTGGCACAGTGAATTATCTTGGCTTTCTCATGTAGGTGGCTAGGAAAATCCATGACTTCTGAAGGACAGAGTTTTCAATCCTCTTCTAGGGGATGTTTAGGGATTTGACCTCTTACAAAACTGGCCAGTGCACCTGTAGAGCACCCTTGGCTCTTCTATCAAATGGCAGAATGGCTTCCTAAATAGACAGTGGATGCGCCAAAAGCCCCTTTCAGCCACTGAAAGAGGGTGGAGTAGTTCCCAAATATGCTTCTGATTGGAACTTCATCCAGATCCAAATGGAGCAGGCTTCAGAGAAGAGGTGTCCTTTCCTCACCTTCCAGAGCCACAATGCTCAGAGCAGTTTCTGTGGTATCTGGGAGCATAGAGAAGAATGCGGCATGGCCAACAAAATTATGTTGAAATGTTGTTCCATCACAGTTTGCTGATTCAGCAAAATTGAAATGTTTTACAGAACTACTTTGATTTCACCAACGTTTCAATGGAACCCAGGAGCACTCTGGTGGGACCTTGCCTAGTTTCCAGCAGGTTTGTCAACATGGCACGAGAACTACTCTGGAATTGGGGACCACCAGGCAGTGGCGTTGAAACAATTCTTATTGTGTGGGGTGCTAAAGCCATTGAACAAAACTGTAAACCCTGTATATGATGGAAACCACTTCAAGCCAGAGGGTGCTCCCACAACCCCAGCACCCATGTCACCAGGCTGACTGCCTCGGAATTGGAGACCCCAGGACTGCAAGTGTTTGCTGGTGTAAAACTAGTATTGGAAGAATCAAGCCCAGGATTTGCACCATGCTAATGACTTTTCATTCTGAATTACTGGAATATTACAATCGCCTCACAACTTTTGGTTTATGAATAGGTAGATGAGGCACCAAGGAACCCAATCCTAAATCTCTCTTATTATCATGTATGCTTGCTCAGCAACAGCTGACCAACACATAGGATGGTCAGCCCAGAGTGAAAAGATGTACAGATTGGCCTTCTGAGCCATGATGGACCTGCCTAGGAGTTCTGACTCACCCTGAACAGCTTACCATGGATTTCACAGACTATGGCAACCTGGAGGCTTTCCCCCAGAGCTACTCCATGGGGAAGAAAGAGAGACCAGAAAAAGCTCCTTTCAAAACAGGAAGGAGTTGTCTCCATCTCTGTGCATGTGAATGGCTTCCTAATGTTCTCCCATTAACATGCAAAAGCAGAGAGTTGGATTCCCCTTATCTCCCAAAGGTCAGAATTAGGCAGGAGTGTAGGCCCTACATAGCTGCCAGTGAGGAGTTACTTTCTCTTAATATTGTGCTTATGTTCCCTCAGATCTACTCAGACCACAGAGTTTGGATTACCTGGCATCACAGAATCTTTCCATTGATTCCAGTGATTTGGGATCAAGCCTTTAAGTGGTGAAAGAGGTAGTTTGGATTGAGGTTGGGGGAGTGACAGGGATGTTGTTATATCTGTATAGTCGGCTATTGATTAGAAGGAAATTAGCAGAGCTCTCAGCTCAGCATGGCTGGGGGAGGGAGTGGCATCTCCCCAACACACTGGCCACTTCCCCTCCCTTCAGGGTAGCCGCTTGGTCTCCACTCTGCTCTCTGGATCCCCTTGTCCTCCTGGGGCTGTGTGTACAGGGGCACCCAGGCAGCATGTTCTGTGAGGGTGGTGAGTGGGAGCCAGCCCCCAAACCTCCCTGCAGCCTCCTGTAGCAGCGGCTTGGGCTCCGCCTCACTGCAGTGCAGAGCTTGCCTGGAGCAGGAAGCAAAGCTCACAGGTGGGAGGTGGTTCCCGGCTGCCAGGTTGTTGGGGGTCATCCCTCCTCTGGCCATGCTCCCCCTCTCTAGAGGACAGCTGCTTGGTCCTGTTCCACTCTTTGTCCTGTGCTCCTGGCCCTACCCACCATCCCGGGGGCTGCGTGTGCAGAGGTGCCCAGGCTGTGTGCATTGTGGGAGCCAGCCCCAAAACTTCCCTGCATCCCCCCTGGGATCCCTTATCCTTGCTTCCTGGGGTCTGGCAGGGGCCAGGACAAGGGATGCTGGAGCACACTACACCCCAAGCCCTGGGGATGCACTTCACCACTCTGCCACTGG